ACCTACAAATGCAAAGTCCTTGAAGCAGTAGGGACTCTGGGGTATTCCAGAAACAGGAAGGGGGAAAGAAGTATGGCTGGAGAAGAGAAGAGGAAGGGAAGAGAAATAGAAGGTGAGGTCAGAGAGATACATGGATATCTAACAAGGCAGGGCTTTAAAGATCCTAATATAAAATACTGTATACTATTGGAGGATTTTGAGCCGAAGAATATCATAATCTGACATTGGAGGCGTTGTAGTATTTTGAGGGCGATCCAATGGTGGCTTACACCCTCTGGGGGTTTTGGTGGCTTAAGCCATACTTAAGACGAGGTTGTGAGTGTTGAGAAGAGGAGAAATTCTGGATACATACTGACTTTTGGAAACACATGGATCAGGTCATTCTTCTGCTCAAAATAGTTCCCCATTTAATGCCAATAAAATTCAGAGACCTAACAATGGCTTTACAAGTCTCTACGAATCTAACACTTAACATTTTACTCGTTTCTCCTACTCATTTCTCATTTAATTTTAGTAGCTAGCCTCCTGATACTCTTTGAGATTGCCTGGGGCAATGCCACTGTTTCAGGGCCTCAATAAAGTCTGCTGTCTGAAGAATCCTGCCCCAGGTACCCGTACACGTGGCCACCTCCCTCCTCTCTTTTGGGCCTTTGTGCTCGTCTTCTTACTTCTGCCAGCTAGTCTGCCCTCACTCCTATTTAAAGTTGAAGCATCCTCCCAACCTATTTTTGATCTCCCTTTTCCTGCTCTGTCAGTCTCCAATCTCAGCACTTAACTACCATTTCACATCCTAACACACAGACTTATTTTTGTATGTCTACCAATGGCACATTATCCTCCATTTGAATGTGAACTCCATGAAGGCAGGGGTTTTGTCTTCCTTACTGATAATGTCCTGACTGTTTAGCATAGTACCTAACGCACCGTAAATGATGAATGAATGTTACCAGAAGTAGCAAATATGAAATAAGTTACTCTTCTCAAAAGCCGCCGACTTCTTGAACCCTTGCTAAGTAGGGAAGTACTATTTTAGAGGAATTAGATGACGTTAACTTAGCCTCATTAGCTTTTTGCCTCTCTGGTTATTTATTCAGTTTTTCCTGAAGCTTTTATATGCATAAGGAAAGCTCGGTAATTACTTGTTGTCTGTTCTGTTGCTAACACTGCGGCTCGTGTCTGGGATATAGGAGCCTCCTCTGGAAGGAGAGATACTCCAGTATATCAACAGTTATAATAAAGTGCACTGGGTGTGCTGCAAAGAATAATTATGTTACCGGAGTTCGGAGTTTTGATGAATGCAGACACAGAGCAGCATGCGGAATTGAAGGGTTATTATACTTACGGGTCCTAGAGAGGAAGGCAGGGCTTGCCATGGGGAGGGGGCACATGGGAGGAGCACCCACTGCGCAGGCTCAAACAGGTCCGAGAGCCGAAAGACAGAGCGAGGCCCCATCGGAAGTGCTTCCTGCGGGTCAGGGTTGGGTACACAGGCAAAGGCGTGAGTCGGTTTCATTGGCGTGTTTCAATGTCACTAGGTCATTGTCGGGAGAGGGCACGCAGGGGGAAGTTGTACAGTGACCAGCCTTAGCACCCTGTGCCCCTGGTCTCCAGGGCCAGGTCTCACAGCCTGTCTTGTAAGGATGTTGAGGCCTCCGGAAATAGCAAGTTTTAAAAATATATGGTACCCTGGGTGATCCTAGAAATAAACGCACACAGCTTTGGATCCACAGAGAAAAGGCACCCTGGCAGCCTGTAAATGGTCCATTTCAGAATGAACGCTTCCCCAGTGGCACTGTAATCCTAAAGACCTAAACCTGGCCTTGGAAAACCCACGTAAATGTGCAGGGCTGGTGCCTGCCTCCCTCCTGTCTCTGTGAATATCAGACGCCCTACTTCCAGCCACAGCCACAGCCCTCCCCTGCCTCCACCGCCCCCCCCCGCCCCCGCCCTGCAGCCTGCATTGAACCTCTAATGTTTTTAATCAGTCTTGCTAAATACTTCCTGTAGAGAGAATGAGTAGTGATGAGAAGTAATCTTGTGGCTTCTTTATTCTGAAAAATTCAATCATTGATCTACAGATACTGCTTATTCATCATGATACCCCAGTGTAGAAGATGGGGATTAAATTTCAGCTTTAAAGGTTATGGGATCCCTCAAGGCTTACAGTATGGTAATGAAAAACTGAGAACCTAAAAAAGGGATTCCAGAATCTGCGTAGTGAATAAACTCTCACCAGTCCTTGCTTCTGATGTGAATTTAGGATTATGTGCCTAGGAAGATGCCATGTGCTTTTTACCGGAGCCTTAGCGCTGTTCACATATAACTTCTTTTCAGGTCCTTTCCTTCAGTTTCAAGCAAATTCTCTTTAGTTTTTTTGAGGTCATATGTGATTTCTGGGCCTGTCTGTACTGGTCCTATTTACTAAGTATGTAAGTACTAAGTATGTAAGTACTAGTGAGGCCTCCTAGTTACAATTAGATGTGATTAACCGGACTCGATACTCCAAACAGAAGCCGTCTCCGTAGCAGGTGTATGCCTGGTGCTTACCAGTGACTCCCTCCTTCTGAAGATGAGCACATGTCCATGTCTTTGCCTTCGTATTCAGAGTAATACAGGTTCCCAGGATGCATGGTCTTCCTGGACCCCAAATCGAACTCTCTGAGTTCTTGAAAATTCTCCAAAACTAGTATTAGGTTACACATGTGTGGTATGCCTTAGAATACGCTAACTTGGACATGAAGCTGTCTTACATATAAGGTAAAAATTCCTGTTCTTCCTATGCTCAGGTAAAGTCAGAAATAGCAAATTCACTTCAAATGTCTTGATTCTTCTACAAAATTTTCCATTTGTGCTTCTCCCGGACCCTGTTCTGATTTACAGAGTCTCACGGAATGGCAGTTAATCCGTTTCTTCCTTAGGTGCATGTGTCCTTTCTTACAATGTCTCCACACCCTCATCCCTCAGACACCTCGCTGTCTCTGTCTCATGTGAGACATTGTTCAGAGTACCGGGGCTGTAACAGTGGGACCAGAGGAACACAGCCTTGGGCTTCATGGACTTTATACCACTTACTGTTTCTCTCAGAACTGTACAGGTCATAGTGGTGCTTGGTGAACATATTATTCTTTTAAAATCATGACGTCTTGGGGCACCTGGGTGGCCCAGTCATTTGAGTGTCCGACTCTTGATTTTTTGGCCCAGGTCATGGTCTTAGGTTCTTGAGTTCGAGCCCCATGTCAGGCTCTGCACTGACAGCGCAGAGTCTGCTTGGGGTGTTCTCTCTCTCTCTCTCTGTCTCCCCTTCCCTGTCTTCCCTTCCCTCACTCATGTGTGCTTTTTCTTAAAATAAATAAACTTTAAAATAAATAAAAGTTAAATCATGGCGTCTTTCTGGACTAAATGTTATTTAAGCTTTTTTTTCATGAACTATTTTAAAAACCTGAAAACCAAATATTCCCAATATTTTAAAAAATGTTTATTTGTTTTGAGAGAGAATGAGAGAAAGAGTGTGAGCAGGAGAGGGACAGAGAGAGAGAGAGAGAGGGAGACAGAAAATATGAAGCAGGCTCCAAGCTGTCAGCACAGAACCCAACTCGAGGCTTAAACCCACAGACTGTGAGATCATGACCTGAACTAAAGTCGGACGCTTAACCAACTGAGCCACCTAGGCTCCCCGAGATGCTCCCTATTTTTAAACAATTTCTATTTCACTCCAGATAGAGTGATTATTACAGTCAGTTTTTATTGCTTGTAAGGTTTTCTTACAACATTTTAATTAAGCTCTTTACTACTTCCTCTTGCATGAAAAATATATCCACTTTGACTGTGTTGATATATTATGGAAAAAGGAAAGCAGGGTAAGGGGAGGGGGCAGTGACCCTGCTCTGTTCTCCGGGAGCCTGTGGCTTGCTGCTCTATGCAGGAGAAGGTTACTCCACCCTGTCTCATTCCCCACAACCCATCTTTACCTTTAGTCTTTATAGAAGGAAAGCAGCACAGTAATTTTATATATAAATATCCTGGAAATAAATTTTCAACACCAGGGGAACATTTAAATAAATTATACTTTAGTTATAGGAAATGTTACCTTGAAAATGTTAGGTGAAAAAATAATGTCAAACTACAGGTAACAATAACAAAAATGTTACTATAACTGTAATAATACCGAAAATAATAAAGGCAATAGAAGAGTTGCTAATGTTTTTATTTGTTTATTTTTAAAGCATATTTATTTTGAGAGAGAGGAAAAGAGAGAATCCCAAGCAGGCTCTGTGCTGATGGCGCAGAGCCCGACACAAGGCTCATTTCCACAAATTGGTGAGATCATGACCTGAGCCAAAATCAAAATTAGGACACTCAACCAACTGAGCCACCCAGGCAGCTAATACTTTTTAAACAATCACTATGTCACGAACACGTTCTAAATGCTTTACACTTAATTCTTTTAATTACTTCATTTAAATCCCACAACAACCTTATCAATTGGCAAATAGTATCCAACTTTTACATGTGAGTATAAAAATGAAGTATCGAGAGTTTAGGCAACATTGCTGGGTTCAGTAAGAAGATGACACCTGTCCTCAAGGTACTTGAATCCTAACGGTGTGACAAACCTGTGAAACAGGCGTGGTGTCTGTCTCGAGCCATGTGTTACCAACGGAGACCCCACAGGTATGCCATGGGAAACCAGAGAAGATTCCAAATGGAAGGAACATGCGAACAGAGTTGTAAAGAAAGAGTTGCCTAGTTTTTTTGAATGGGCAGATGAGAAAAACCTAAAACGAATTGGGTCTCGAAGTGTGACTGCCAGTCACCAATTATGTGACTTAAAACAAGTGGCTTTTATTCCTTCATCTGAACTACAGAAATGATATCTATCATTTCTTGATGGCTTATCAACTAAAGTACAGTAATGAGAGCTTTTTTTAGTTGTTAGATGCTATTTAGTTATTGGAAATTCTTTAACTATGTGACTCTCCCTTTTGCTTTGCCTTGCTTAGGTAGATGTAATTGTGACCTTGGGCGGTCTCGGTGGGCGTTTTGACCAGATCATGGCCTCTGTGAGCACCCTCTTCCAAGTGACGTGCATCACTCCTGTGCCGATTATCATAATCCAAGAGGAATCCCTCATCTACCTGCTCCAGCCGGTAAGTGAAGAAGAAATACAATGTCAGCACGTTGCTTCCACAAAACTTCTAACATTTGAGTAGACTAGGACTGAACATGAGCCTAGTGTGTGTCTTTGAACTTGACACATGAGCAACATGGACCATGTTTGCTTCATTTTACTATGCCCTGAAAAAAAAAAAATCACATAACTTTTAATTAAATTGACTAAGAATTAAATTTAGCCCTTTTGCATTTTGAGCAGCTGAAGTGAATGCCACTTGAGAAACGTCTCAACAGAGGAAGCACAGAGCTTGGCAAATATTTCAAATGGAATTCTCATATATTTTCAGTGCTGTCGTTATTACTGGAAACTGGATTTGATTTTGTTAAACGTTAAAAAAAAAAATCTTTAGCTTTTACTCTTCATAAGTTGCCCACTTATTAATTTCACTGCTTCAGAATAAATTTCTAAGGATCAATGTCATTCACTTCCCATGATAAATATCAAGGAAATTTTCTATCGATATTGGGCTAGAACAGAATTCTTACTACATTAAACCAGTTTTATAAGGTTGATCAGTTGGTTCCTTTAGAAAAATAATCATTTTGTAACATTTTCAAAAGAGTGTGGACAGTTATTTTGCTTTGTTGCCTCTTATTGTCATGTGCTGCTTATATTACATTGCTCCTACCCCATCTGCTGTCCGCCATCTGTAGCATGTCATTGCCTAGAAATTGTTGTTTAGTTAATATAGTGGGTATAATGTATGTTCCCTGTTGTTCAGACAGCTTTGCGTTTTTGTTTTGTTTTGTTTTTCCTGGCTCTTTGCATTGCCTAGCTTTGTTGTTTTCTGGAAAACTTCTAAGAGATGTGAAAAGGGCGTTGAAGAATTCAGTTTTCTGACTCCATACTCTCCATGGATTTAGTCAACAAAAGTTATGAGGTGCCTGCTAATCTTCTCTTTTTTTTTTTTTTTTAACATTTATTTACTTTTGATAGAGACAGAGCACAAGTGGGGGAGGGGCAGAGAAGAGAGGGAGACACAGAATCCAAAGCAGGCTGCAGGTTCTGGGATGTCAGCACAGAGCCTGACGCGGGGCTTGAACCCACAAATTGTGGGATTGTGACCTGAACTGAAGTTAGCCGCTTAACAGCCTGAGCCACACAGGCACCCCTGGAGTGCCTGCTATTTATTGCAGTGCTAGGCAGTTGAGGATTAAAAGAAAATACTAACATGATCTTTGCTCTCTAGCACGTATCCAATGAAGAAGTCACTTATAAAAACATGACATAGAACACTGTTAAAAGATTGGCACATAAATAAGATGAAAGATTATAAAATTTGATTATATGTACAGTACAGGAAGCCCACCTTAGAGGCCCTCACATTTTATCCACTCCATTAGTTCAACAAATATGTTTTGGGTACCTGCCCTGTGCCAGGCACTTACGCAGTACTGCAGCCAGCTAAAGAGACAAAAATCCCTTGTTTTCGTGGAACATTCATGCTCTTGAGGTTACAGTGCAGCAGAATCTGCGAAGATGAGGGGACGTTTGCTGTGGGAGATGATGAGAAAGTCATTTAAAGCAGAAAGGAGCCACTAAAGAAAGACGGAGGCATGAGGAACATTGTAGGATCTGCAGGTCATTCTGTTCAGCAGTGTGGAAAATGCCAGAAGATAAGACTAAAAACTCCTTTGATCGTTAAGAGCCTTGAATCCTACACGGTAGAGTGTGGATTTTTTCGCTTGAGGTTATGGGAAGTCATTAATAGATTTCACTTAGTGGTATGACATGAGCAGATATGCTTCTCAGATTTCTAATTGTACGTTTGTTAAATACCTGTATTTCCTTACAGACTCTGAAGAGTGAAACTTTCTACCATTGTGAATCATTGAGCTTTATTACATTGTACTCTGTTGAGGATATGATTGCTAACGTAGTCAACTATAACTTGGCTGAACGTAGATATTCTAGTTAATAGATTACTAGTTAGTTAAAGCTGTAGTAAAATTACAAAGCAAATTAAAAGGTAAAATTGGAAGATTAGCTGATAGAAAAAGTCAGATCTGAAAAGTGACTTTTGCTCTTAAAAGCTTTTCAGTGTTTTTGGTGTTCCTTACCCTCACTGTACTATGTCTAATTGTGGGCTTCCTAAATGGCATTCAGCTTGGGCATCACTGGATTTCCCCCATCTGCAGATTGCTGTCTGTCCTCCATTTGGGAAACTCTCAGCCATTATTTTTTCAATATGATCTTGGCACGATTCTCCTTCTCCCTTCCTCCGTAACTCTGGTTAACTGTACATAAGATACTCTAACTGTATCATTTCAAAACTCCTCTTCCGTATTTTCTGTGCCTTAACCTCTCGGGCCTTTATTCTGAAGCTCCTCACCTATATTCCATATCCCTCTTCTCCTTCAGCCATGTCTGTTTTGCTGCTAAAACCATTAAAATTCCTGCCATGATTCTTCATTCTTGTATGCCTGTCCTCTACTCACTTTTTCAAGATTCTTTCTTAAAACACATTTGTCATACTTACTTAACGGTCAAGAATAATTCTAATACCTGTAGTTCTTTATAAGCCCGCTGTCTTCTGTATTCACTTGTGCTTCTACATCTTGTAAACTCAGTTCCTTCTGTGTGTTGTGAGTTTTGGCCATGACCTTATATTTCTGGGAACTTGACCTGTGGGAATTATTTGAAGTGTGAGTTAAAAGTGAGTCCAAGGAGCATTTATAGCAGACTCCTAACCCTGCTGTTTATAGGCATTGACAACTTAGGACATTTTGCTGGATCATCTTTTTGACCATCTAGGTGTTGTGGTTTCTGAAGGGAGTTTGGCTAGGAGTTTGACTTCCAGTTACAGGTGCACAAGGGAGACTTGCTCCCTCAGCTAAGGTGCCTGGGTTGGGTCAGGCAGTTTTCCTAGTGGTCCAGTGGGAGTGCTATTTAGATTCCTCTTACACTGAGAGTCTCTGCCTTATCTGGTGCACTCTTCTTCCGCACTCCCACCCTGGACAGGCCATGGGCTTTGTCTCCTGATGACTTTCTGTACTTGGATGTCATCTGCTTTGTGTTGAACTTGATGAAAGTTAGATTTGTTTGTTTGTTTGTTTTTCAGTCCAACCTTCGTTGAGTATTCTCTAAGAAACAACAACAACAAAAAAAAACCACAGATGTTTGATGCATTTAAAAGATTCTTTTTCATTTTCTCCTAGTACTTTTTGTTGCTTTACATTGGTCAGGGTACTGATTTATCCTACTGTCTCTGTAAGTCACTGGAATATCCGGTCTAATTTGGATGGCTTCCTCCATTTTATATCTAAGCCAACTGGAAGAAATTGCAGCATCTGGAGAAGAAGATTGCTAGAAAGTGGCCCTGCATGTTTTAAAGGCCAGGCCTGGCCATGTCTTCTGTCACCTTTGGTGGGAACATGGTGACAGTCCTCAGCCCACTGCAAGGCAGTCTGGGAAAGGAAGCTGTGGCCAGGGAAAGCAATCACTTTCTGAGCACAGGGCATTGTTTCTCTTGAACTGTCAGAAACTGAAGTTGGGAATGTAAGTCTGTAATCATGGCGCTACATAATTTCTAGGAGTATAATTTTTTTTTCTCATTTATAAGGTATGGTAAACTTTAATTCCTTGTTAAAACAGAAACCTCACGGGGCACCTGGGTGGCTCAGTCGGTTAAGCGTCTGACTTTGGCTCAGTTCATGATCTCATGGTCTGTAAATTCAAGCCCCGCATCAGGCTCTGTGTTGACAGCCAAGAGCCTGGAGCCTGGTTCGGATCCTGTGTTTCCCTCTCTATCTGCCCACTGCCCCCCCTTGCACACTCACTCTCTGTCTCAGTCTCTCCCTTTCTCTCTCTCAAAAATAAACATTAAAAAAACCAGAATCCTCAGTTCTCCAAGCATAATTATCATAGCAAGTGTACCTGTATAGCTTACATGCCCCCAAAACAATGCCTTCTAGATTCTCTTTCTGGTCATTGTGATTTTGTCCCATTTGCCTATCCTAAGAAAGTAACTATTACTTAGTGTGGGGCAAAAGCTCTGCACGATCACACCTGCCACCATGTAGAGGGGTGACTGTATTTAGCATAGACTTGCACCTCTTGCTTTCCCAGTGCTGGCTTCGCTCCTCTTTGGCACTCAGTTCCAGAGAAATCTTCCCAGAGACATGTACTAAGTTCTTGCTTTTCAGTTGCTTTTAGCAGGGGACCACTAAGACAATTAGTGATATAAATTCAAAGGGCAAAATGCGTATGTTTGAGGGTTTAGGATATGAACCAATCTTCTATTGTATGCTATATTTTTTAGCAGTTTTAACTATACACTGAGGAAACGTGATTGACACTAAAAATTAACTAAAAGCTATACTAAAGTGATTGCATAGAGCCATTCTACATTCTAGAAATGGGACTTGGATCACTCAGCTGGACTGACTCCACCGTGGGCATTGTGTGTGATATGTTATACATGTGTCCTAGTGCATACCTGTAAGGCAGCGGGCATGCTCAGGAGGGTGTCTGTAGAGGGCGCCTGGGGGGCTCAGTCTGCTACCACTCTGACTTCAGCTCAGGTCATGATCTTGCGGTGTGTGAGTTGGAGCCCCGCATCAGGCTCTGCGCTGACCGCTTGGAACCTGGAGCCTGCTTCTGATTCCGTGCCTCCCTCTCTCTCTGCCGCCTCCCTGATTTGTGTGTTCTTGCTATTGCTGTCTCTCTCTCTCTCTCTCTCTCTCTCAAAAATAAAAAAACATTAAAATTTTTTGAAAAACCACGAAGGGTGTCTACAGTTCCTGTTCATTGTTAACAGGACTGATGATAATCATCATTATGCGGAAGAAACCTCATAACTTGAAACTGAAACTGTTTTCAAATATTGTGGACCGAGGGCCCAAGAAAATCGATCTGGTATGCCTCAGTGCCAAATAAAGGATGGCTTCAATTTTTAAAATGTATTTTTTAATTGAAAGTCAACAAATAGCTGCCTCAAAAAGGAAGTTGACTTTGGAGCTTCTACAAGCAGCA